AAAACGCCTCAAAGAACTAACTGGATGCTTAGATGCGAGGGTGACGAAGCCTTAAACAGCAAACATATCTTATTTGTTTTCAACTTCGTGGTTTGATTTAAAATTACTAGTATCTAACTCTACTTCTTGTATGGGAAAGTTACTGGATAGACAGTCATCATTATGGGCTACATATTGCTTGCAGACAGAATGCGGTTGTAATGACCCATGTACGTACCGACAAATTCAATAGGCAAAACGTGCATTTTATGCCGTACCGGGTATGGAGAAACGTGGTCCCAACAGTGCCGCGATAAATAACTGCAAAGTTATCATGTTGTCAACTGCTTTCCGAATTTGACGCTCATAAGTTACGTATATTTACAAGTTAACAAACTCTTTGTAATCAGATCTAGCTGTAACATTCTGAAGTACCTTCATGAGATGTTGCACCGTTTACACTAGGACAACCTAAAATGTTCATTTTCTAATTTCCAATTTATTGTCCAATTCAAAATTTGGCTTCACTTTACTATATCTCTGGTAGTTCATGGTACCATGGTTAAGCAGATTGTAGTTGGTTAGGCAATCTCTGTCAAACCTTAACTCACTCGTAGCCACCCTTGGACTTCTGCCAAGTACTCGGATGAGGATATTACCAATGCCCTTTGTCGGAACCTTCATGGATCAAAGGGAAAAATAGATAGCCTGTCCTTAATTGTTATTTCATTTGCCTGTAAGTCTGCAGATCCAGCATGTTGTGTACCGAAAGAGAATCTTCAAGTACTCTATAATGTTCTTTGGTATCTATTCTTCTCGGTTGCAGTTACACATCAATGTCTGCAAAGCCACTGTATCAACCTTTCACTTTACATGTGGTTGGAATAGATACATTTTAATGAGTGAATATTTGGCACGGTTAAGACCCAGTACGAGGCCTGAACATCAATCTTTGCGCGGCATGAAAAGGGTAGCTTCTCGCGTGGCAGCTCTTTGACACCCTGTGAACCCATACCTGTCCTGACTTCTCACGACAAATATCCTCTCCTTACAACGCTTTCTCAAGGCTAATACGTCAGCGTTTCGCTTTTGTCCAGGCAGCCGATAAATTGTCATACATGCAGGCGTTGAAATATCTGGAAGTCTAGTAAACGATTAATATCAACAGATACCTTTTATCAGTCACTCAGAGGCCGTACAACGTAAGCTCCCACCTTGTGATCGATAGCTTTGTGATGTTTTTCGACCTTTATTCAACCTTGAACCGTACAAAGAAAGTTCTTCGGCCTAAGTCGCTTTTCAAAAGCTCAAGGAGGTGAGGATGGTCAGGGGTCTTAATTACAATATATATAGCTACGTTCAAAGTTGTTCATTCCGTAACGTATACGACAGCAGACAAAGTTAACAAAGTTTACCAATATAATCCAGAAAGTTGTATGAGTGCCCAAGATCTAAAACTAACGCAATATCAAATACAAATTTTAAAATAACCTTTCCAAAGTTGTGCCATGCGCTACCTTTTACCAGGAAATAAATCGCTTCAGTTACCGGCTACCATTAACCCACATTCCTTGTTATCTGTTGAAGATCTCGGATATACCTCAAGGCTGAAACAAAGTCACTAATAAGGCAGTTAGCAGATTGCAGTTTGTATTCCCTGAAGTCGACCACTCAGACAGGCCGGCGACTGCTTTGTAGTTTCTCTGTGTACGGTGCAATCTTGACATAAGGCGTTGTGAGATAAGGTCATTCATATCAACCAGAACATCAAGTAAGCAGGTCTGTCTATATTGCTGTAACAGCTTTATCTACAAACCAACTGTTGCTGTATGCAAATAATAGGGATTCTATAAAGAGACAAAGTGATGCCAAAATGAAGCGATGGTGCCTTAGATTATTCGATTATTGGCTATGTCTGTACATCTAAGGTTCTCGTATGTTTCTTTTGAGTTTTGGTGATCCAATATGGCACAGTCATGAAGTCATTCACGGATAAGCAGATGCTTTAGCTTGCTTGTCCACAAACATATCTTAAACATGGACGATCTTTGTACGTTGAAAAGGTATAAACGGTGAATGGACAAAATCCTATCACATCCCTTCACATTAAAGTTCCATGACGTCCAAAATGGCGGATGATCGTAGCAAATTAAGTTTGATTTGCCAATAGCTTTAGTCCCCCTCAGACCATTATCAAACGCTAATAGCTGACAGTATTGGGGCAAACTGCAAATATATGGTCAGTAATTTTCCATGTGCTGTAATTCACCCGCCCTCCACCCTTCACCATAAAACGATTTTGAAGGCAGTATTGATTTGTGAAGTCGTCGTTACTGCTGACTACTTGTCAGACACTGGCATTGATCAAGATAGAAGCCGGTCTTCTCTGAACATGATCAATGTGACAGATGATGAGATGTCTTTTGGTTGTCAGTAACATCTTAGATAGTAGCTATAGCGAGCCTTTCAACTAGAAATCTAATCTTCATACTTCAATCTTTATGATAATCAGTCGTAATATAGTTATCATTGCTTGACCAACCACAAGCTCCTGAGCCATAGTAGAATGATATGTCAGTCATGGAGCTATCTGCTCATCTAATATCTATTCTAGTTTGTCAAAGTGTAAACGTAACGACACTCGACGCGAATTCAGAATGCTAAAATGTGGATCTGAGCACAACCTGTGTATCAACAAGCAACTAATCTGCTTTCAAAGGAATCGACAACATGATAACATTGCACTCAATTTTCGCAGTACTGTTGGGATCACGTTTCGCCATGTCCATTACGGTATAAAACGCACGTTTTTGTCCGATTGAATTTGCCGGTACATGGGTCATTACAGCCGAGTTTTGTCTGTAAGCAATAAGCAGTTCGTGGTGATCATTGTCAATCCAATAACTTTCCCTCCAACCAAAGATGACCAATGGTAAAATTCATCCATTAAGAAGTTTGAAAACAAATTAGATGATGTTGGCGGTTCAAGGCTGCATGGCGCTCGGCATACAATGGTTCTTTGAGGCCATTTCCCCCGACGCCCGTCTTTGATATTCCACGAACACCCCCTCACTCACAAACATCAATAGTACATATCAGCCACGGGTGGCGGGCATTGAGTTCTTTGTAATTGAATCTCTTGGCGTACATCAACGCCTGTAACGGTATTAGACAAAACGCCACTAACACTAGGATACGATAATCACTTTACCTAAAGCCCGCTTGATATTGGTTGTGTTTGTATTTCATTCAATACACAGGTTACTGAGTAACACACAGATGCATACATTTGCAATATATAATGGCATTGACATAAAAAAACGCTCAACTCTTTTTAAACAACCTGTGATTACCTCTCAACTTGAGTATGGAATGAAATTCAATAATAAAAAATTACCATCAAAAGAGAGAAGTTTAAACTCCGGTCCTTAACAAGTATGGCCAATTTCACACATCAGTAAACACTCGGGATGTAAAAAAAAAAGTTGACTACAAGCCCTGAGCAAGAGTAATTGCAAACGCGTACTTCATAATTTTCTGCCCGCAGTACCCGCACGTTCCCCCTGGCCTTCACCTCAAACTCAGAACTGACTCCCATCCTTCTCTTCACCCTATCTTGGCAGGTCCCGGATGTAATGTTCCGTAGTTATTACGCCTGAACAACCTTGGACAGACACTCAACCAGAGGATAGACTAATGACGTCCCGCCTGAACCAAAGTCGACCCTGCTCACCCTGTTATTATAATCCGTACTACAAAGACCTCTGTAGATAAAAGTTAATGCAGCTAAGAGTAAAGGGCGACGCAGCAAAGGACGACACGCCATTAAACTATGCCTCTTATCGTCACAGAAGATATAGCATGAAAATCACTCATCAAACAAAGCTAAGGGTTATATTGTAAATATTGTAGTTCAAAGGCTGTGGAAGACGAAATACATTTTATTTCAAACTATTCATTCCATAACAACGCTCGAAATGAATTGACTATTCAAACTTCTACAATTTATCCCAATTTCTCTAAACTTACAGACCAAGAAAAAACTATTCTTCTTTTAACTTCCCAAAACCCACAAATTTTGGAAAAGGTGGGGCATTACGTCTTCCATGGTTTACAGAAGAGAAGTCAAGCCCTTCAGACATAGTTTTAGACATAGTTATAGTTGTAGACAGCTACCTTTATCATGTAGACTTTAGTTATTTTATAATCTATTTCATTGTTCTTTTATGTTTTGTAATTTGCAATTAGCCTCCGAGCACAAATTTGCAATAAACTTTTCATTGTAATAATGTGGGAGCTATCTAGCTTTACCCAGTGGGAGCGAAACTAAAACCTCATTTGAATAATTATTTCATAGAATCTCATTTTTCCTTGCATCTATCAATACCAAGTACATGCCTTAGTTACCTATCTGTTTTGATATATTTAATTGTTATAATTTGCTTTGATTCGAATTAATGTCTGTATATACATATATATGACAAATATTATAAGCTCATTCAACATTTTTGACATGTTCATGGGACAAAGACCTGAAGATAACACAATTTCTACCCAGCCAAATGAGAAATTTATCCACACTAAAAAAAATGACACATGCCTATGGCTCCTTGACCCGAGGTCTATCTGGAAGAGAAGAAGAGGTGTTTGGAGCACTAGTACTGACGAGGGAGAGTTTAGCAGACTGACGTGGTGACTCGAGAATAAGAAGATAGCTCTCACTGTGGCAGCATCTTCTATCTACGTCGCCTATCTAAGCGGCATATAAGAAACCGTTTTATTTGCGAAAGGATGCAGGACTAGGCACGCCCGATCCTCCATCTACTGTTGTGCTACGAGTACAGATGATTCTTAAAGAGCAGCAATATAGGAGCGCCACCTGGCTAGTTTCATGAACACTGCAACATTTGAGGTAGATATTTTATTCAATAACAAGTGTCATACTATAGGAATATGAGGATTCAAGTTAAAAAAAAAGAATTCTTAGGAAATTTACAAAATTCAAATGCGAGTAACCATTTTTTGTGTTACACTAGGGATCGATTTCTATAGCTATAGTCTTTTCCTAGGAGTAAAGAAAATCTGAACTTCTTTACATTCTTTACATTCTGAATTTCTCGTTACAAAATGTATCAGTACACATGATCCGTTTGTATTTCCTCAAAATTGACTTTGCCCAAAAGAAAACAGCCACATCCACAGGAGAACACCATCGCGAACGACGGCCAGAACAGATAGTGGAATATAGCCCACAGGTTTGCGTCCAACAGTTCGCGGAACACCTCTGTTTGGTCGCTCGGGTCGTAGAAGCAGGAGTACGTCTGGCCGACCTGTCCTGTGGACCGCTGGAAAGCTTCAACACGTTCAACGTTGTGGTAACGGTATTTGTTACAGGGTCTTGTAGAGCACTGGGTGAGAGAAAAAAAACAAGACATGGCGTTAACATAGCATGAAAGTTCATCTGTGTTGGTACAAGTCATCATGAAATAAAAAGTTAACTTTCCTTCCAATACTAGATTGAATTGGGTCTCACAGACCTACCCTGAACAGGGACGGGGGGCGACACAAGTTATCTGGCACGTACGTACTACGGTCACGTGTCTCTGACGTCACGTTCCAAGAGTAGACGGGTCCATTCCGTGAACAAGGTTGAATAAGTCAGCTGAAAATTTGGCTAAGTCCCAATTCATTACAGTGTTGGTAGGAAAGTTAAGTCTTTATTTTATAAAGCATGGCGTTAGTACATGGCGTTTTGAGAATAGGGGGCTTCGCACACGTAAACTCCGTTTATTTCTATCAGTCGAGTGAACAAAATAATCTGTTTTCGTTCACACGGTAAAGCAAAGGGTAGGTCTTATGAATTATAGATTCGTTGCGTGACTGACTTTGACTTTTGTAATTATATTGGTGTGCCAAACGTATAGACAACATAATCCTCCCGGTGATCACATAAAACTGGAACTGATGGGGCATATTTGGTGTGGACTCATTGTAGTTTTAAGCACATGCATGGAGTACTATGCAGTGACATAATGATATATATGGCAAACTACGCAAATTGCAAACAAAATCCTTTGAATAATAACTCACTGCTAAAATACACACAAAAAAGTCATTAGAGAAAGCATCCACCGAAAATGGCATAAACATCATAAGTTACATTACCAGCTGGTCCCCTCTGTATCCCATGTTTTTCTGGTTGTCCACCAGAATCCCGCTATGCCGCTGTCTGTACCTGCCGACAAACGTCACGTTGATCTGCAGACAGGGAAACGACGATCCACAACCTCTCCTCATCTCACCCGGACACTCGCACGACACCACGTCACTGGAGATTCGTGACGTCAGCACGGTGCACGTTGTTCTGCGCATGTACAGTCCGCGTATCGCCGGCCTGACATCGTTGACGATGAAGATGACGAGTAGTATGAACGCTCCGAAGCGCAAAACTACCAGGAATGTGGCAGTCACACAGTAACACTTACTACACGACATGGTCCGATGTTCAGAGTTTCTAACACGACGTTCAAGTTACGTCAAATCTGACATTCGCAGCAGTCGACATCAGATTCTACATGAAACATGGAAAATGTGTCCATCAATTTTAAAATCATTATTACCCTTTCCTATTCATGTTGCATCCTGGCTACATCTGTAGAAGAGCTGACAGATCTTTCCAATCTGCCGATACGAATATCCTCACGTACGATAAAGCCCTCCCCCCGATACAGCTTTTCCAGCGAAAAGAACGAAACCGCCGCCCTCAAAGAAACGCAGGACGCTAGAAAAATGCACGGGAGGCCAGACAGACCGATATGCCGTGTCCAATAGCTGCAAACGAGTGTACAGTTATTTCTGGAATCACCGATACACCTTACGGTTAGGTAGCCACAGTCCCTTTCGCGGGCCTCCCTTCGTATCCATGTGAACTCCGTGTCAAAGGTTACAGAAATGAAGAATTACTTCTCCATGCAATGTCGCCGTATGTCAGCCTACACTGTATACATGTAGCTTATGGTATACTGCGGTACTTCTATGATGCTGCCTGAAATATGGTGATAAGTAGCTAGCAATGAGGAAGAGTAAAATGTTGTGATTTTGTAGAACATTGAAAAACACATTTTATTAAAAAGTCAGTAAGTCTATGCTAGTACATGTATATTGGTTCAAGCTAAACCTGTTTCGAATTCAGACATTTTACGACATTAACAATTTGGCTCCGGACTTAAAGCCTGTCTCTTTTCTACACGTCTGAATAGGTTTAGATTTGCCTGGAGTTAGATTTATTTTGATGTACAAATCAAATCAAATCAAATCAACTTCATTGCTCAACAACTACTGTAACTGGTACAATGTATGGCAAAGAAGTATAATGTATGGCAAAGAAGAAAATAACAAGGGTAGCTAATCCATAATAATACTAAAGCTAATCCATTGTTTTGTTCAATAAGTACATGTAAAATAAAAGTGGATACAGAGCTGAAAAACAGGTCAAATGACCTGAGCGCAATTTCCTGTATAAAATAAAAAAAAAGCTGTTAAACAATAAAATTCAGTTTCTTAGTACAAAACGATGTCCCACTCCGCCACCTCACTGACGGTGTAGGTAGTGCCTGCCACCGTGTAGTTCCCCTCTGCCCCGCTAGGGGTCCGGGGCTCGGCCACCTGACTGGGGTTCTCTGACCCACAGAACCCGCATGGGTCGTGGTCACCCAGGCTGCTGTCCCCGGAGAAGTACATCTGGGTCACCAGGGTCCGCCGACCCGGGGCTGTCAGCCTGGAACGACGAATAAAGAGATAAATGTACAACTGACCATGAAGTTTCTGCTCCGTATACATATAGAACCATATAGGTCGCGGTTATGCAGGCTGCAGTCCCCGTAGAAAACTTCCAGGTTTCGCTGACCGGGAGCTGTCACCCTGAAACAGACCTACATGGGCTGTGGTCACCCATTCTTCTGTTCAAGGAAATTACCCCTGGGTAATACAAGGGGTTGTCATTAATATCAGGAACAAATCGGTGGAAGAAGGAAAAAAGTAAATGAACATTTTTATTAGATTAATGCATAGCTAGGTGGCTGAACCTAAAAATAGAATGTATGGGTCGATTAACGGAGGTTACCTACCTACCTACCTAGTCCCATGACCGACACTGGTCGTCGGGGGACAAGGCAGACCTTGCAGCAATAATTTTTATTGGATGAAGTTTGAAAATCTACGAGGGTAGTGTGGCAATATGAATCATTACTCCATTACAGCATATACTTAATATGGAGTCGTAAAATCGAGGTACGAAGCTGCCGACCTGAAGTGTACATGCGCAGGACGGGTGTACCAGCCCCAGCCGTACTTTCCCGGCATGATGGTGATGAAGCTGTACCTCCCCTGGGGATCGGTCGTGACCTTCCCGCGGCAGAAGTTCAGCCTCCGGGTGTCCATGTAGTAACTGGGGTGAGGGGAGGGGGGCATAAAACATACAATTTCGACGGACGACTATCCATGTCTATGATATGAACTTTCACGCTAGTATGAGATCACCACAACAGGTTAAATATTTAATATGGGTGCATGTCAGTCAGTCTTTTTTAACCATTCCTACAGATCAAGAATCCTGGTCTCAACAAGTATGCTACTAAAACTGGACGTTAAACAGTGGTTCACTTTACCTGGCACTTCTTGAAAAGAGGTGGGGGATTATTTCTGGTACATTTGCAAACAAATGCGTTTGTTTGCTACTTTCTACCACCCTCACGAGGAAACATGATATCCATACTTATTCGTGTCGGCTCATATTGATTTAATTGACAGTTATGGTTACATCCCCATCCTGACCAGTGAGAACCGGACTGTATTTTAAGACTCACCGTCCGCTGGAGTCGGCCTGCCAAACCTCCACTGTTGCCCCGGCAACCACGGAACACGTGGTGTCTCTCACCTTTAATGCGATGGGGGAGGGGGGGGCAACTATTATTCCTGTTGAATTATACTATTGAATTATTGAATCAAATTTCCTGTAAGCCACCATATGATGTAACACGCAAGTAGTTTTGCAATTGGTAGACACAATGCAAACAGGACCTTCGTTGTGTAAAATAAGAGTCTATTTGCTCATAGTGACTTACCAACCTGATGAAACTTTTCACGGAAGGAGTACTAACCGTTCCCTTGACCAGTAGATAGGGACCTCCGTGGCACACAACCCGCTGGTACGGTACGCCGTGTAGGTAGTACGGGCCCAGAACATCCCGGTGGGTGGCCTGACAACCTGACAGGAAAATGGGGCAAACACTTCACTTCTTGCTCTTGCCCCTTCCCTTTGAGTGTGTGTTTGAGTCCAAGGTTGCCCAATCGACTAATCTACAACCAAAGAACTCTACTCCCCCCCATCTGTTGTTACACCACTCCCTCTCTAACTACTACATGTACGAGCATGTAACGCATAATCCGCAGTCACCAAAACAAACCTTGTACACAGATGTACCGGGGGTAACAACAACCAGCTGGTTTCTGTTAGCTTGCCAAATACTGAGCCAACTTCTTGCATTTGCAATGTGTGGCCTGGTGTTTTTTTTTAATTTAAAGGTAGGTAATGATGATAACAGCAATCACGTATGCTTATCTTCATTTAGCAGTAGCTGTATGGATAAACGTAATGTTACGTTTTAGTTTCGTCGGTTTTGAGGAGGTGAAAGTACTAGTAGGGGCATAGTCAACAGTCAAAACCGCTGTTGTTCGGGATCTTTATTTAACGAGAGAGATGATATTTTAGACTTTGGAGATACTGGTAACTTGTTACATACCTGTCTGGGCGAAGACTCGAGGGCAGACCATCAAACCCACAACGAGAATGGCGAGGAACTGAAACATGGCTGAAAACTCAGAAAAACTCCCCAACCTTCTCGGAAGCCCTGTTTGTAACTCGGGAATGTCAGCTTGACTCGTTTAAGAAGCCAGGGAAACGTTAACCCGGCGGAGGCCCCCGTTGCCGTGGTGACACTGCGTAAAACTTCATTTAACCCACTTGGAACAAAGCCATACTGTTTTCGGGGCACACACGCTTTATCCTGGGCTAAAATGTCTTACCATCCCACCCGATGAAAACCACGGGTAAATCCCCTCTCACACATAGGTATGGTTCCCCCCTATAGGCCTAAAACTAGCCGAATCCCCTCCCTCCAAGGTCAAAGCCTGGAACATTAGATCGGCATGGTCGGCTGGTTTTCGGCCATGTCGCCTACTGTTTAGCTGCACTAGCCAAATGTTTCAAAACATTCGAGAGTGGAGTCGGTACGTTGGGCTGTCGTTGGGTGGGAGTTGGCTAGTTTTCAGGAGTAGGTCGAGGCTAGCCTCTACCAGGCTTCGGGAGGGCGCATCCGGGTTCGGCGAACTGTACTCTCTAGCGGACCAACTCCCCGGGTCATTTCTCTATTTGGCCAAGTTCTACTCTTTCCAGTCGCCACCCGGAGCCTGGTAGGGGCGTGGTTGGCAGTCAAATTTGACTCAAATTTGACTCAAATTCGATATGATTCGTCTAGAAAGGTTGGCGAGGTCTAAATCTTTGGTGGACTGGTGTTTTTGGGGGGAGGGTCTAAATTAGATATATGACAGGGGCTTAAGGAAGTGTTTTTGACAGGGGCTTAAGGAAGTGTTTTCTGGTGCCGAAGAGCATGCCTGTACGGCCCTGACAACAACGGCATGGCTAACCCAGATTATCAGTTAGTTGGTCCTCCTCCGAGATGCAGATTTAAGGCATTATATACAATGTGGTGATTTTGTTGTAATCTGCAAGCAGATCCTATGGTGGCAAATGACAGTATCAATTTGGCCAGGCGGTATCCATTGGCCAGAGTGGCGTATTGGACCCTCTCTGGCCAATGGATACTGCGTGGCCAATTTGATACTCTTTCTCTTGCCTCCATGAGATCTGCTTGGAGATTAGTGATTTAGGGCCTGGTCATGTTAAATGCCGATAATAACGACTCAAGTCTTATTTATACATATGGTGCAATGTTTTCCGTTCTGCACAACGTTTTGAGAAGCTATCTTACTTTCATGAGAGAGCTTACGAGTACATAAAACAGTAACCGTCAAATAAAGAAGCGGTATTGCATTACCAAAAACATCTCCCTTATCACCTTCCTCATCAAATCTTTAGCTTACTACTATATTTGACATTGGTTCATAATGTTAGAATATACACCTATCATTGTGCAAGTGGCAGCAATGCGCACATATGCAGTGTTGTTAATTCCGGGTTCATTAGGTTAAGATACACGTTAATGTGGCAAATACGCACATATGTAGTGCTAGCTGTTAATTCCGGATCCTGACAGATTGTTTCCCTTGGTTGCACAGAATCTGCTTTGTCGTCTGGTATGCCTCCTTTCCAACATAGCCATCTCGGTAAAAGTGAGACAGGTAGTCCAGATTTCTACACGAGTTCATTTTACAGTACACACAGTACGGTTCCACCGATTTCATCACCATTCGATTTTGCCATGTTTCCGGCATTTTGACATTCGCGTTGATGTTTCCTGTAGAGTTGTAACCATAGAAACTGGCGTTTTGAGAGGTCAGCCCCAGTGATTTCCCAACACGTTCAGCCTGAATAGATATATGGCAATAAACACCTCTGCTCAACACCAAACAAAAATCGCTAGTTATAGTAAACTCGGGACTCCAACGTGTCTTGTTCAGGACCAGTTTTTGATTCTCACTCAAACACGGGTCACGGCAAAACCTTTGAATCTTTGCATTCAAATCTTTGAAATATTTGACCTCCCCAGAAAAATCATTACCTGCCAAGTTTACCCTCTTCCAAAATGACTTGTTGAAATGGTCGTAAAGAGCGTAGTCTACATAGCTCCATTCTTTGTGCTTCTGCTTGAGTTTGGGTGATAAGTCTTGCAACTTACGACGTTGAATGTTGGTACTCTTGATGTACAGTATGTCCGGTATTGCCCAACACATCAAGCGTTTGAGTAGAACCAGCGACTCGTCAAAGTACTCTGTAAGCATGACAAGGTCAAAGTCATTGTCAATGGACTGCACGAATGCTCGGCTAATTTTCTCTCTCTCGCTAGGGTCAGACCCCAAAGTTACGTTTTTGTTATATTCGGGAGGAAACCCAAGATCAGTGGAGATAGAATTCTGCGTCAGACAGAGCGGATAGTGTATGCCATGTCCACAGCGTCTATCGTATCTTCCCGGTTCGGTCAAAAATCTGGCGAGAGAATTATTCATCACTGTTTCGTTTAACCGAAACAGTTTTCCATAGTTGTAAAATGTCCATGCCGACTTTAGGTGATTCAAAGGTTTCCTGATGATGGTGACATACACCGTGTCCTTCGGTAGTATTTCATGAAATCGTGTTCTGTTATAGACAGTGTGATACATCAGCATGTCGAATGTTTGGTTAGGCGGTGGCGGCATGTAATTTTCGGGGTATAGTCTGTATGGATACATCTTGCTGGGCACAAATGGACGTGGAATGATAACGTTTAGATTTCTTGTGTATGCATAACGACTGAGGATGGTCATGACAGTGCTTCCTGCCACTTTGTGGTTCTTGGGGAAGGCAATGCGCTTTCTTTCTCTTCCTCCTTCACACTCGAGCCACGTCGCCGGAGGCTTACTGGAAGGTATTGATTGGGTGCTTGTCTGTGTTTGTGGGTAAACTGCAGGGGCTTGCTGTTCACCCACAAACGTTGGTTGGTCATTATTTGCAGGTTGTGCTTGCTCATTTTCAGGTGTGAGTCGGTCATTTGCAGACGGTGCTTGGTCATCTACAGTTGTTGGTCGGTCACCTGCAGGTTCTGTAAGGTGATTTGGAAGTGTCACTTGCTCATCTTTAGGTGTTGGTCGTTTGACTGCAGGTGATGCTTGCTCGTCTGCAGTTGTTGGTCGGTCATTTGCAGGTGGTGCTTGCTCATCTGCAGGTGTGAGTTGGTCACTTGCAGGTGTTGTAAGGTGATCTGGAATTGTCGCTTGCTCATCTTCAGTTGTTGGTCTATCAATTGCAGGTGATGCTTGCTTATCTGCAGTTGTTGGTAGGTCACTTGCAGGCTTTAGTTTCTTGGCAGTTAAATCAGTTGACATGGTTTTGCTTGTTCTCCAAAAGTGCTTTGTCAAACTAAACAAAACAAAACAAAACAAAACAGCGAATAGATAACAAAATAGTTGGCGAAGAAAATGTCGATCTGTTTTGTTTGCATCAATCTGTGATACGTTACAAAATAATATTTAGTTCTTCGAAAAATTTTATCCTATTGCCAAAAATATACTTAGATTGCGAAAACACATGCATCCCTTTCGAATACAATCCTCAAGTTTTCAAAATAAACATTCACAGTCATATTCTGACAAGGCCATGTATCTTTCGTGCCATCTAGCACAGTGCCTAAAAGTGGCCTTTGTATTCAGCAACATCACAGTTATTGTACTCCGAAACGAGTTGAACTTTAACATTACGGTTCTTCGTGAAATGCATTTAGTTTTTGTTGTTACTTGTACACGCCTCACTAAAAAGTGCTCAAAAACAGCAATCGCACGTTGTATTAATACGATAACAATGGTAACCTAAAACAATAATTTACATTAAAATAGAAAAAGTCAATATAACATTACCTCATGTTTAGAATAGTTCCAGTGATAGCCAATACGAATAGAATAGCAAAGTAGCGTCTTAGAATTTTCATTTTTAATGTTCCCTGAAATCAATAAAAAAACAGGGGGAAAAGAGTTACAGGCATGTTAAAACAAATATGAAACTCCCACCATGTACCATTATTGATTCGTAGTATTTTCGAGTATTACCACTCCATGTGTGTTGCATACTATTTGCATTATATACTCAAAACGATAAGCACTTTTTTTGCCATGAAATACATTCATGATCATTTTCCAGAAAACAAAATACCAGCTTTTGGTTGTTTAAAACGCGACAAAGACACAACTTGGCCAATGATTTGAAAAAAAAATAGATAGAAGATATATTAAAAGATATATAAAAAGCCAATGTACGAATGTAAGTTAAGCCCAGTTGCGAAATATTATTATAGAAGAATAGAATAACAATGGACAATCATTTTAAACTCAAACACCCAGTCGATAAATGCAGTTGCTGTACTCAGATCATGTCCGGTTTGTTTAGATTTCCTGAGTGGTCAGGATGGAAGAAGAAAGAAAGAAAGAACAAAAATCCCACCTGCTTTTGTCACGTAACCAGAACTGTTTGCTTGCAGCTTCAGACTTTCTTCTCGCCTGAAATTTTCCTCCGTGAAAATAAAGAAAGTCACAGACAGTCGGGACAGCAGCCGCCAAACTACGGCGTTTTCACATCTACGTGGCTATATGGGGATCGCCAATGTTCATAAAAAAAAGGGGTGGCCTTCTCCTGCTAGGTTTAAAGGACAGTGCTAGAAGAAGTAGGAAAAACACCACATTTCACGATTGTTATAGTCAGCCAGATGACAAGTAAAAATAACACCTTGAGATTTTGATATGACGTTGATACCTTCATGTATACTAGTATACTGTACTTTCCTCATGAAATTTATTTACATAGATAAGGATCTCTTTTTCACATCCTGGTTTAGGAGGAGGAAGGATACGAGCAGGTACGCGGGAAAGTTGTTTTTAAAAAGGATGCAGGTCACAGGGGTAGGCATGATACTATCGGCAATCGTCCAAGACAAAAACATACACGGAGTCTAGATGACACAGAACCATGCCACAGTCTTTATTGTGAGGAGATATCTTGAGATGTCAGCCCACTTGCCATTTTCGATTCAACTTTGTCTTGGTGTTGAGCCAAGAGCCCAGGTCAACTGTTGGTGGTTCAACATGCCAAGACCTTTTCTAGTTATTTTATAGTTTAAAAGAGCTAGATGTAATTCTGTTTACTTTCTCAGTTACGTTACGGCTACCTATAACACTAGTCTCCATTTTGTCCACATTCAACACTCGTCTATTACTTCCGTGACCGCTATTCTACATTGACACGAGGGTAGCGTCGATGTCGTTTGCTGCAAAGTCGCAAGATGGCGCTCGCTGCACGGTGAAGCCGACGTGGTTCTTGTTCAGCATCCAGCCCTCAGTCTGCCGCAGCACGTACAGACCGTGCGACATCATCCCGCCGGAACTGTCACTCTCTGCGTTCCACACCTGTTTATAGACAACTCATTAATGTCATCAAAGTTGGTATATTTCACGGATCGCGTCCATTGTAAAGAATTAGAAAGAAAAGGAGAGACGAAAGGAAAGACAGCCAAACCTGGTCTCAACAATGACTCAAGGAACTAGAAACCGTTAGAAAGCCATAAATTATCATTGATCTTCGTCTTTAATATCAACCACAACATGCTATCAACTAGAAAGGTAACATTTGCAAAGCAAAGTCACAATGTTAATTATTTTATGGTCTACCCAACAAGTTACAGCCGTCTATTCTAACTGAAAGTTTAGTGAAACACATTCAGCCACTTGTTACAGCAGAGTTTCTGCTACAGCAGAAGTTACCATAGTGACAGACGTCTGGTCCAGGTCATTGACCTTATGTGTTTGGAACGGAAGAAGAAACAGAGCGAAAACAAAATGTTTTCTTTTTGCGAAGGCAAATATAAAAAGGGGGATAATAAATAAGATAACCGTACGTTGAAGGTGATATCTGGACAGGGAAACTGCACTTCCACACGCCAGTTGGAAAGGGTCCTGCGACTGTTGGGTAGACGGATACGTCCTTGAGCGCCTCCTGGCCATTCTTGGGTGTATTGCACCGTCAGACTGCGTCGTTCCTCCCCCATGTTCATACCCTATCGGTAAAGTCAAAAAGTATCAAATAATTCTGTCTTGCAAGTAGTCGTATGCGCTTCCAAAAATCTCAAAAATGTCATGCTGAGATGAATTGACGAAATACAAATTGCTGTGATATATTCTTAAAAAGCAGAATGATTTTGGCATGGTACTTGCTTACATACGGCAATGTTCATGTCACTTCTCATTTCCTCCAACAAATTGTAAGGAAGTCAAGAACAAACTTCGCAATGTGTGTCACATAGCTCTAACCCCCAATCACATGGATCGATTTGGTTCTGTTGGCAGAGTTCTATCATAGCAGTAGCAGGAGGGGGGTCGTTTTTTTAAATGGTGAGATGATCTCTATCACCAGCAGGGCAGGGCTGGAATGCTTGCTCACTGTTGTGTCCCAAACACGACACAACACTCACTTTGCCATTGACTAAAGAGAAATGTTTTCCTTCGAAATCCTGTCAAAACGCAGGAAATGATATTTCAGAAGGTTTAATTTTCATAGTGTACTATATATATACACATCGTTCTAGGAGTGTGAGCTTTCCTTACGGTCGTCTCACTTGAACCGTCGGAGGTGCTAGGACTGGAAGAACCGCTAGAGGCGCTGCCTGGTCTGCTGGAAGCGTCTCCACCACTCGATCCCTGCACAACACAAGTATCCAACTAATTATGGTACTGACGGACAGATGCATGCGTTCAGATACATGTTGATTACAGATACACAGGGGACATATTTAGAGACATATACGTTGTAAACATTTATTTGAAAACATTTTGCAATCACAATGCTTCTTCAACACTAGAAAGGCCGACATTTGCTTTGGAGCAAATACAGCAATGGCTTCACCACATTTTACGACATGGCAGGGAAAGAATGAGAAACACAAGGGAAAACAATGCTTTACATTGATATAACTATAGTATGAAGTAACATACAACTAAGACTACAACAGTTGGATAGCTATTCCCTACATTATTGGTTAGGATTTTTAATTGCATAATGCAAACTGTTGATTTTCAAGAAAAAAAGAAGTGTTCATGCCCCGCATTCCAATGCTGGAGCAGGAAAGCTTGAAATACCTACCAAAACACTTGAATACAGACATACTGTCAGTATGGAATGGATCTGAGCAGGTATTAATTAAGTTAAGCCTGTTAAATTCCAACAGCCAATCAGCAAGGAGAATAGAGGAAAGCTGCATGCCTATTGGTTGATGCCCTGCATTCCATTGTGATGAGTCATGCCCAAATGTGGTAACACTGCACACTAACTCAGTAATACATTTGCTATAACACAGCCAAAAAACTCAAATAAAACCATTCTAAAAGCCTGTATTACAAAAATTTAAAAAACGCCTAGGGGTATTTGCCCACTGTACCTCCATACCAAATTTCAGGACCTTAGGCCCTAAAATGAAGAAGCTGAATCCATTCAAAAAATGGCAGGAGAAGGAGAAGGAGAAGGAGGAGAAGAAACATCAGAAAAAGCAATATGGGTTCACCACCACTTCGTGGTGTGGTGAACCCATAATTAGACAAATCTTAGCAATTTAAAACACATATCTCTACAGATACTGACCAAGGTGATTTGAAAGGCATCATGTCATGATTCGAACAATGTAGGGTTAATGACCAGTGTTGTAATATAGGGTTAATGACCCAAGGCACGATTCAAGCAAGTGTTGAAATATAGGATTAACGACTCAATACATGATTGAAGCCAGTGTTTTAACACAGGGTTGATGACCCATGGCATAATTTAAACAAGTGTTGAAATATAGGGTTATTGACCTGTGTTGTAATATAGGGTTAATGACCCAAGGCACGACTCAAGCAAGTGTTGAAATATAGGATTAACGACTCAATGCATGATTCAAGCCAGTGTTTTAACACAGGGTTGATGACCCATGGCATAATTTAAACAAGTGTTGAAATATAGGGTTATTGACCTGTGTTGTAATGTAGGATTAATGATCCATGGCACGATTCAAACAAGTGTTGTAATATAAGGCTAATGCCCCATGGCGTGATGGGTTCTTTCACGTGCGTGGGGTGTGACTCTCCCCAAACACGGGACGCATTTAACGTCCTATCCGAGGGACGTTCCTAACCAAAGCTAGATACTCATTTTCACTTGAGTGAAGTGAGAAAAATCGTGTAGTGCCTTTCCCAAGGGCACAGGGTTGGTGACAAGGTAGGATTCGAACCCGGGACCTCTTGGTTCCGAGTTGAGCACTCTGCTCTTACGCCACACAACAGGTGTGTTGTTCCTACCTGCTGTGTGAGTCTGTTATCCCTCTCGGCACGTGTCGCCACCACGTCGGCCTCCCAGCAGCTGCTGTAGAACTGCCCTCCATTGAACTCCCACAGCCAGACAAAGGTATAACGGCCTGCCAGCGCAAGATCGTCATTTGTCAGCAGTTGGATATAACAGCCTTTAAATATTGCTAACTTAACACGAAGTTCTATTTAGTAAACGCGCGGGAGACACGCCCAGGTCAGCGACCTCCCGGAACTGGGACAGTCTGACGTCACGGGGAGCGTTCCGGGCGCCCATCAGGATCTTGTTCGCCCGGTCTGGGATAAACTTGTTCGTACACCGGATATCTGCTACATGGTTCTAGAGAAAGAAAGAAATGAAAAGAAAAAGAGATGAAAAACAAAATATAGGAGATTTCACACCTCACCGAAATACGTATAGTTACTAGTATGCGAATTTCGTCTTTTATCAATTTATGCATTATCATTCGCAATTTCCCGAATCTTGGTAAGAAGACAAGTTCCTGTTAGCTCCCGAAGTGCTTCTGGGAGCTAACTTCCTGTGCCTAACTTTTGTGGTCTGTGGTTAGGGAATCCTCCCACCTGCGTACTGTCACGCTGACACAGAAAAACACGCACACACATACACGCACGCACGCACGCACACACACACACACACACACACATACACAGACACACACACATGCACACACACACAAACACACACACACACACACACACACACACACACACACACACACACACACACACACACACACACACACACACACACACACACACACACCACACACACACACACACACACACACACACACACACACACACACACACACACACACACACACACACACACACACACACACACACACACACACACACACACACTCACACACACACTGACACTCACACACTCACACACACACTCACACACATACAATTACACAAGTATTTGACAATGCAGCACATACCTTAGTTGGATGGACGAAGACCACCTCCTGTCCAGGATAGTACACTGCCATTGGATGAGAGGCGCTGTACTGTGTGACGTCATTCCTGGCGGTTTTGCAGGCCTGGTTCTCAGAAGGAGTGAAGTCGTACCCGGTGTCTACTCCAAACACACCCTGCCGATTCGCAAACCTGGCAAGGAACAGTTTAAAAGAATAAAACATCTTAGAAATTTTGGAGCACTTGTTAAAAACTCTTCATAAATGATTTATAGACAGCAGGTTAGTACTCTTTTTTTATATAGAACGAACAAATTTGACGTTCTCTGTCTGCCCAACGTCAATTACTATGAAAAATTGGCATATGCACCCTTTGGTATTGACAACGCCCCTTTTCTCCCACCTTGACCACATGTTTAACACGAACCCACGAAAACATGTCGTGAGAAGCTCCCTGTCCGTCTGTTTTCAATCAGGACTTTACTCTCTCAGACTGGAGCATTAGCCCGAGTTTTGGGACGCGCTCAGCCAAACTCACGGAAGGGCATAAATAGATAACACAGAGAACATGTCTAACATGTTGGGGCTCTTTCAATTCTACCAGTGTTAGGGTGTCTTTTGACAGCCGTTCTGCATGCTCTTGTTCCAAATAGCCCTAAATAAAAGCTCTTTTCATGTAACTCATACTAGATCCTGTGACTGATCAAGTATCATCAAACTCAAAAAACAAGATTTGAGAGTTAAATCAACTTGGAATTCAGCCTTAAGTAGCGCCATTTAGATTGAGCGACTTCGATAAAAATCCATCGATTCATAGGTTGCAGTAGCTTTGAAAGTCAAGGCCGACGTAAAGGTTATACTTGTATAATGATTGAAGTGAAATTATTCTATGGCTGTTTTTCTCGAGCACATTGGGTCTTAGCTAGTTACCCTTCCCAAAGACCGCCCCGTTTCGTTCACACCTTCCTTATCTAAAATTCTTGTTTAAAAACTGGTTATTTTGTAACAGTACGTGGACTTCACGTGGACCATGAAGAATAATAAGCACAGGCTACATGATTAGAATCATATACATATACAAATACATATATACATATGATTGTTACATGTATATATTCACGTCTAATGTATTCTAGTCTTTTCAACTTCCTATTCCTTCTTAGAGATTGTATAAATGTATGAGGCTGTATGAGTAGTTAGATTTGGTTTATCAAAGGCTAACATGGACAGGTGGATGGAAAAGGTGTGTTTTTCTCACCGCTCGGCTGATCTCGGGAAGCCTCGGCACTTGGCCTGGTCCCACGTGGCGCCGTTCTTCTCTGTGTAGTCCGTACAGGAGACCCAAGAGTGCCCCGACACCCTCACGACAAACACACAAGTCATAATAAGAACGGCGATGGTCTTCATGATTCTGATCCTAAGACTGACTGCCGACTGAGGAGAACTGTCTGTTTCTTTCATGAAGATTCCCCTACTTATATAGGTTTTAAGAGGCTATCACGTGACCTGTTCTTGGAAGATCATGACAAGACATTTCTGACTTCCGGCCCATGTCTTCGTACGTACTGTTGGTGACGTCACACATGTCCATGTACACATGTTTGACGCATAAGTGACCAACGGTCCAATCAAATGGACTTATTTACAAATGTTACAAAGTGCTTAGGTACAATACATCTTTGATGTTGCATTGAGACGGTCTGGTTTTGCTAAGCTAACAAGCCACGGTGAACAAGCGCAATACCTGTGATTAGGTCATTGACACGTATGTCGTTTTTCTGTCTCTTGATCTCAGTGGAATGTTTGAGAAAATATGCACCAAGTCCAATGTAAACCCTACGAACTATGCGTTCCATTTTATACAAGCAAAAACAAGTTTTCCTTTAGAAGTTGTTCAAACCTGGCCCGTTTATGAGAATTAGTTTTAATTTGAAACCTCCTGAGTATACATCTCAGAAATACCACCGCCCCGTCCCCGTCTTGTTAAAGTATTTGGGAACAAAACCTGCGTTTCCGGTCTTCTTCTGCTCTCGGCCCTTCTGTAAGGCCCTTCTGTCACGCACTCAGGACCTTCCCCCGAACACTAGCCAACCATGGCGTTCGGGAGCAGTCTGACCAGATTTAGGCCGCACCTACCTTTACGACTTTGAGATGAATTTGAGAGTTAGATTTAAACATACCCAGGTAACAGCTGACTTTTGCCGCGGGTGTTCTGCTGACTTACAGCTGAACACCCGACAACCATGCCCTAAACCAGTCCCCGAATGTTTAAACGTAAACATTCAGTGAAACAAAATTACTGCCCAGTGTTGCCGATCTAGATCTATCCAGTAATCTTCAAGCAGATCCCTATCGGTGGCAAAAAAAGACAGTATCAAATTGGCCAGGCAGTATCCATTGGCCAGAGAAGCTCCATTAGCCACCGACGGGATTGGTTGGTGGGGATCAGGACAAAAAAACCCGGCCATATATCAAAAGGTAACGATCATTCCCCACAACCTCTGCTTGGAGAGTAGATCTATCCCCAAAACAGACCGTGTTCCATTTGTTCTTCGCGGCGCTTCACCTAATAGTAAATAAGCGATGACCTCATTTCAGTCTCAAAAGATGACGTTTAACAAATAAAGCGAGAACGGGGACCTTTACGTCAGAGTTGAGAAAACAAAGTGTTTGCTTATATGTTTTGCGTCTAGTTTTAAAGCTCCGGTCGGTCTCGCTAAGCGCTCTCGGGACTGTCCATTTGTTCTGCAAAATGGGTCTGTTTAACCACAATCAGTTTAGGAATGGTTTGATTGAAGTCTTGTTCAGTGGCAATTCGACGCCAATATACACGTAGACAGCATGTCACATCATTAAGTTTCACACGTAGCGAGTCTAGCCTTTAATGCGAATGCGTCACCCGGGGATCAAGTACATCATTAGGTTTCTATTTAGGCCACACCAAGTAAATTTTATTGATGACGTCCTTTGGAGACCCTAAATCTGATGCGAGAGTGCGAAAAAAAACAAGAAAGGCCCTAAAAACAAGATGCCTAGATTAGAAATATACTAAGAGACGAAAAATGTTAGGACACAAATTGAATGAGGTGATACAGTGTAACAAGCAAGAAGTATTCAATTCATCATCAAAACAGCAATAAATCAGGTGGAACAGCAGTTGTCGTCCTTTCCTGTTTTTGTGTTACGGGTTTCACGTCAATCTGACGATTTGCGGCACTGTCGTGACTCTTTGGACATAGTTACAGGAAGCAGAATTTCTTGTTTTTTTTCCAGGAACAGGCCAAAATCAATGCGCGCGCGGACGTCATCCATAAAATTTACTTGGTGTGGCCTTACACTTAACGCGTCTAGTCAAGTTACACTAAAACGAAGTCTTTATTCATCACAGCTCCAAGCTTGATAACAGACGAAGGATATAGGTTGTGACAGGAAACAGGACCGAGTTAATCTGTAAATGCGCTAGTCGTGGCGTTCGGCTTTATTTTTGGTATCAATGCCACGCTCAGGTGGAGTTACGGAAGCGAACACGTCAATAGGCCACGTGTCACACGGCACCCACAACCCCTTTCCCTTCCGTCCCATGTGTCTGTACTTTGAGATTACATTCATGGTCGATTCTTCCAGCTTTTCTGCGCTTCACGCGTGGGCGCCAGTGCGGCTCTGTCCCACAGAATCATTTAGAAAGACAACAGTTCGATTTCACGCCCACCACACAGCGGTATGTCCCACAGTTACAACGAAAAGACCCAAAGTATTTAGTCTTAATGGATTTCTTATTTCCTTCATTAGGCTACAGCAAGTAAATTTTATAGATGACATCCTCCGCAGACTCCAAATCTAATGCGATAGGGCGGGGAAAAACAAGGCGGGCCAAAAGAAACAAGATTTCCACGATATTAAATTTTGACATCATAAACCTTGTTAAACAAGAAATGATTACAACACCCATTTGTCACTGAAACAGCTTTGGAAAATGAAGGTTTTCAAATGGTTTTGATTCGGTGGGAAGATCACATATAAAGGAATATAATGAAATACACCATTCCATGAAAATAAAAGACAAAACAATAAACCAGAGAATTGCCTCGTTTCCTCTCTTAATATTTTCTGCTATCAACATTTTGCCATATCAAAGGACATCTTTGCCCATTTTTCTTCATGTCGACCACAGTCAGAGGGCAACAAAATTTCTTGTTTTGTTTTTCAAAACCAGGCGAAAATTAATGCGCGCGCTGATGTCATCCATAAGAATTACTTATTGTGGCCTTACCGTTATTTGCACGTTAATATTAGTACGTACGTTGTACATGAATGTTCCCACTCGCTCCCATAACTCAACAGACATGCAGACAGCAGGGAATTGTAGACAGGGAATGAGATAGCTTTTCTGGGACCCCTGAACTAGCCCTGTCAGGACTGTCTAGCGTGAGGAAGTTCTACCTCTGTTTCTTGAAGTAAAAACATATCTTGCACTAAATATCTTGCATCAAGACTATAACATGTCCCAGACGAAAGATACATTAAAAACACTTGAATGATAGAATGCCTTCATTAATCATGTAAAGTTCGTCCCATTTTGCACATTTGCATGTCTCTGTGTATCTCTCAGTCCAAGCTACTAACATGGGCCAAATCGTGAAAATAAGTTGTATCAATTTACTGCGTTGAAAACAAATTACCAGAAAATTGACCTGGAAAATATATTTTTACTGCAGTGAAACCACTTAATGCATCTATTGCTATATGTTTTCAGGTTAATATGCCCATTCTCCCCCTTAATATAATCTAATAGAAATCCATTTACTTGTGATCATCAGGTAATGGTGAACAGCGGGAGAGATGATGAACGGGGTGCCCCCGAACCGCCGACCGCGTATTCATTTTGCCGTAATTGGAACGTCTCTTTCGTCGAATGAGACATCAAAGCTACTCATGTGCGCACCCGCCGAGGACTTATAGAGCTGTCAATCATCCGATGGTTGCCACCTAACCGCTTCGCAACGGTTGCTACCCTTAATAGGCTGCTGGCGTCACGTACGTTACCGCCGTGTATCTCTTCGGCGCGTGGCTGCGAGAGGCCAGGTCTTTGCGCTGCCTCCGTAGCAAAGACAGCTATCTGTGTCTATGACTAGTGCAGTCGTTTTGTCTCTCGGCTGAGCGAGCTGTCTTAGGATTAGAAAGCGTCTACTTTACCCCTGTTTAGCTTGATATGTAGCTGGGCCAAAATGTTGCATGGGTGAATTTGGATTTGTTAGCTTTTATCGTCGATGTGTATTGACTCTGAGGTAAAAATGTAGAGTATTGCAGCTTCTGACAATTTTTCATTTTGGTTAAAGTGCACTGGGCACGGGGGTGCTACAGTTGCATTAGAAAGACGTTTGGCTTTCGCTAAGAATAGGAAATTTCTCGACTTTTGCGGCTGTAATCTTTAAGCGCCAAACCATGGATTGGAACGCTTCCACCACGTATTTCCCGGTAGAGCAGGTATTTGTCCCTGAGAACTTTACTTACGGTAACGTCACCGCCCCACACTACTTCCCCTACCCCCGCGAGTTACGCCAGATCTCTGACGGAGAGAAGACGGGGAAGATCCTGGCCTATCTGGTCATCTTCGTGACCGCCATCGTGGGGAACTGCCTCGTCATCTACACGGTCGCCGTCAACAAGAAGATGCGCACGACGACCAACTTCTACCTGACGAACCTGGCGGTGGCTGACATCCTGATCGCCATGTGCTGCATGTGGGTCGCCCTCATCAAGGACCTGACGGACCCTGTCTGGATCTTCGGCGACTTCATGTGCAGATTCAACACCTTCATGCAGGGTTAGTACACTCTGTTTTGTACTTCTCTTTTAAGTCTTGTCAATGCTTTTTTTACAATGTTAATACATAGAGGTAACGCACTCGAGCTTATATTCAGCATTGGACCCCGTCTGGGTTTTTTTTTTTGGGGGGGGGGGATTTCATGTGCCGATTCAACACCTTCATGCAGGGTTAGTACACTCTGTTTTGTACTTCTCTTTTAAGTCTTGTCAATGTTTTTTTACAATGTCAATACATAGCGCACTCGAGCTTATATTCAGCATTGGAACCCGTCTGGGTTTTTTGGGATTTCATGTGCCGATTCAACACCTTCATGCAGGGTTAGTACGCTCTATTTTGTACTTCTCTTTTAAGTCTTGTCAATGCTTTTTTTATTTCAACATTTAAACAGAATAATACATAGTGGTGACGCACTCGAGCTTATATTCAGCATTAGGACCCCGTCTAGGTTTTGGGGACTTAATGTGGCGATGCAACACCTTCATGCAGGGTTACTACGCTCTGTGTTGTGCCTGTCACTGAATCTCTCCCGAACGTTGAAATAAAAAGATGACTTTTGTTGTATTTTTTTTTTAATTTTAACATTTAAACAGAACAATATATAGCGGTGACGCACTGAAGCGAAAAGCTGGATCTT